TGGTAACAAATAGTCTTTCAAACAACACAAATCAGATAACAGTCTCATGGAACGGAACTCGTATCATGACATTGGTCGATCAAGCAATATTATACAAGATCAATGCCATGTGATGTTACATAATGAACAAAAATTAATCTCTTACACGAGACATAACACTGTAAAAGCAGTAAAAACAAATCTCTTCGCAAATAACCCGTCGTTTCAGTGGCAAATGATTTATTTCATTTCAGATTCGGACCCCTCTATACTGCTACTATGATCAGTATCCATCAACGATCTATTATCGTTAGCATGATCATCGTTTTCTTTTGCTGCTTCACTCTGTGCAATTTCTTCAGCAGCTGCTTTAACGAGGTCGTATTCACCTGAAATAGAAATACTTTGACGAAGGCAACGCAACAACGATCATTGGCCATAGACCATTTTTGTTATCGACAATCAATTGGTGCGATTTCTTTAAAGCGATTTCATTCAATCTAACCGTTGGAAGAGATAATGAAATAAGTTGGCTTGAAGAAGTATTGCTGACCGAAACCAATTGTTAGTCTGACGTCCATGAATAAGAAATTCCAATAGAACACTTCAGCGATAAAAATCAACGTCAATACGAGCAAAGTGAACTGGAAATAGCAAAATTAAGCAAGCGTTGATTGAGCGACATTCTAAACAATCATATTTATAACTGTTCCATTAGTTACTGAACAATCGTCAATGCTGAATCAGTGCTGAGCAAATCATTTCTCACTTGATGCTTGAAGAAAAACATCAAATCTTTTCATAATTCAATCCGTAACGCCGCTCACATTCATTTGAACTCTTACCCAACGAGTTAACGTCAAATGAATTAGGTCAATTATCCAATTCATAAGTTAAATTCACAATCAGCTTGATGCTAACCATCGATAAGTTCCACTGCATTGGAATAATAACTTCAAATCCCGCCATCCTCCATCTGCTTCGGATGTTTGATTTCATATCTCCAATGAATACCGCCGATAGCGCACATAAACCGAAGTGGATCGCTTTTTCAATTACATCTGCATACTGCAACAGTTCATACTATCACGCATGCATCTGCACAATAAACTCCTTGGCTTTTAATCTAAATTAAATTGGTTCGTATGAACAAAAGAATCAAAAGTGAAATCTCGCAACCCAAACACACACTTCATATTGAAGTGGTCCGAAGTACAGAATGAAAGCTGTCGTGAGAAAAGTGAATAT